CTCGTCAGAACCTGAACATGAGATGACTAATTTGTTTTCGCTTGCTTGAACGGTTCCTGTAATTTGTCTCTTATCCACCAATATAATACACCCATCTCAGTCAGTTCTTTGATCTTTCTCCGCTATAACTTCCCAAATATCTGGCGTTGCTGATTACCTATTGTAATTATTGGACTCTAACAGCTGGAAAATCACTAGAGCCTTTCCCCTACACGCTTGCCATAGGTGCATTTTTGGCTTATCTCTTGGTAGCTCCATTATAGTGAATTTGGCCGCAATTTGCCTTATTGGCACAAGCCACAATGAGTTCTATTATAATTTTTTTCTTCGATGTTAGCCGGATGGGTATAGATATTTCCTCCAGAGGGAAGTGCTGGGATACATAATTAGCAATTTACATTCTTAGCCTTTTTCTTACTAATTTAAAATTTCTGTATCACATAAATTACTTTATGTTAGTCGCTCTTTATAAGGATTCTGAAATATGGATTATGTTTTATTGTATTCCTGATTGCCTATTTATGCTTTATTAGGAAGGATGTAAAATACAATATATACATTTAAATACAGTTGAGTGTACTTCCGTCATTATTTGGGACTAATCTATTAGTTATTAATGATCAAATTTTATCTTACTTTCATGGTTGTGGAGCTATAGTAGTGTTGGCAAATAAGGTAGGACCTGTGTGTTTCCTGATTTCGAATACCATGCTTAAAATTTAAATTTAAATTAACAAATATCATTTTATTTTGATATTGCTTACAACAAAAACTAGGAAACTTTTTAATTAAGGGGAGACAAGAAAAATCAAAACTGTTTCCAACTCCGATAGGTGCGAAAGTGCGGGACATCCATAAACTATAAGAACTGTCATAATAGGTAACCGTTAAAATTCTTCATTTAGTTTTCCGTCTTTTCTGTTTTAATTGAGGGACCGAACACAATGAAATTGAGCTCGCGCCTAACCAGATTTATACGAATCCTCGAATTAAAAACTGGAGAATGAAGAGAAATAACCAACAAAACCGAAGAAAAAGGAAGCCCAAGGAAGCTCTATCTCTGCGCGCCCGTTCGCTAGCACTTCGCGCGCGCGCGGCGATATCTCACCTTTCCTTTCCCCTCCCGATCAGTGATTTGCAGTCCACCCAGCGTTGTACGACAGGAGGAGCCAAAAGGGCTAGTCGATCGACGACTTCCGGGGCGACCATGGTGACTTTGACTCACGGCCATCCCTTCGATAACAGATCTCCGATAAGTTCCTGCCTTTTAGGACGCGACAACACAAAGGACACTATCACTCCTTGCGACCGGCTAGCTACCTTCGCTTCGACAGTTCTCTCTTTCTCGGGACTTTCCGCCAGGCAATGCTAAAGATGGCCAGAGCTCAAGCGACCCTATTTACTCAAGTCAATTGTCCCTATGCTCATAGGCTTGCTTCGGCTTTCTTCCGATTCGGGGGCTACTCGAATATGTAAATCACGATTTGCCATAGAAAGCTTTAATTGGCAAAATCTCCATTGGCGTTTTTATCTAAGGGCGCCACACCCACTTTGTATGCACTACGGACTTTCTTTAGTTGCGTTGTCTCATTAGTTTCCCGCAACCAAAACCTGACGTCGAGGACGATTATCGGGTTACGTACACATGCTCTTCGGTCTGAGGTTCTGAAGACTATATGAGTCCAGCCACACCGTAACCTATGAGTTGTCTTTTTATAGTGCGGGAGAGCCATCGACTCGGTCCACTCAAAGCTTGGTACTTATTAGTACTCTTGTACCCTTTATTCAGAACTTCAGTTAATCTCTAAAGAATGGGTGACGAGGTAGGGGCAAATTACAAGCAAGAGGGACCATCAAACCCAGAACTCGACAACATACGCTCAGACTCCAATATGTTGATGTGCCTATGGCTGCTATTGTGGATCCGAGTAACTGCCGGTCTCGTAATCTATTCTCCTCCTGATTAGGAGCAAGACAGTGATCTGATATTCAACAGGATTGTTTCCCTTCTGGTACATTCCCTCCTTTTTTGAGGCAACACTCACCACTATTTCCTTTATTTCTAATCCTTTTATTTGTATTAACTGAGGGCCCTTCAGTTTTGTATTCTGCTTCTTCATAAATGATTTCTGAAAATTATTCTGCTAGTATTCGACCTCAATTTAGGGACAGCTTAAGCTTTATCATTGCTGGCTGAGGTCTTCTCTTGAAGTGCCAAAGGCATTCATTTGACGTGGTCGGGATACAGGAGTGTATTAATATCTATATATAGAGTCAGTGGTGATTTTTGAATTTATTTGTTGGGATTTGTGTTACTTGATTTTAGCTTCTTAAACTCGGTTACCTGCGTTTTTTTTTTTTTTTTTTCTTTTTTTTTTTTCTATTTTTTTTTTTTTTTTGTTTTTATGGTTTTATCTGGGTGTTTGATCATGGCCTTATATTTTTGGATTTGGTTACTTCCTAGAATGTCTAATCTTTTGATTGCTCTCCAAATTTTTACAATGGGATTTTTTATTTTCATGTTTTGTTCTTATTTATTTATTGTTCTAAGGCCTTGGGGCGTGGGTTCGCATTGAACATAAGTAGAGTTATTAGAATTGAGAAATACAGAGTTTGGTAAGGTAAGCAGGGCCTGTAACCAGTATGTGTATCGGCCTCTATGACTATCAGATTTTAGAGAGAGGTTCCGGATTCGAGGTTACTTTTCTGGTTTCGCTCTAATGTTTATGAGTTTGTTGGGGATTAAGGTGATAATTCGGGGCAGCTGGCCAGCATATGGTTAGTTTACCATAATTCGTTATTCCTCGCGCAAAACTCGCGATAAAATACACCTCAAACAAAAAAGAGGAAAATTTTAAGTTTATATTTTGAATTGAAATGCTAATGGGGGCTAGAACATGATCGGAACATTCAGTATTTTTAATTAGTGTTATCACACTCCTAACGGTTATACTAATAGAACCAACTGTGTCAATAATATGTCCTGCATTCTTCGTTTGTCTATTCGTCATGTCAGAACCATATATATGCCTGCTCGGGCGATTAACCATTATGTGTGGGCATGTAAATCATGGAATGCTTACATCTCTTGAGCTGCACAGATCTTTTTTTTCCTTTTCCTCTTTTTTTTATGAACTACTTTATCGTTGGGGTTGAGATAAAAGACAAATATCTATAAATTTTATGTTCGGGTTGTGGCTCCTTTCTATGTTTCTGTTTATTACTCGTGAACAATCTCTATGTTTTTACATTTCTCCACACTTGAGGCCTAGGATGGACCAATGATAAATTTGTTTTCTCTCCCTGTTCATGTGTTTTCTTGAATAGGTTTCTCAATGTGGAGATCCAATTTATGGGTCGGACAGGGTCACTTGCAATGTGTAATATTGATCATTAGTAGACATATAGGCAAACAGAAATCGACTATCTGGGACGGCGGCTATATTCTTCTTCATTCTTTTATGATTGACAGAATTAGGGATTTAGCCGATCTGTTACTCGTTTCAAAGCTTAATACTCTTGGTAGTGTCAGGAGTTTCAGGATTCTTGAGAGCTAATGAACACTTACTCTTGGTCTTGATTGTATGTATGGGATATTTTTCTTTCCTTGATGCTTTGGAATAATGTTTATAACTTTTATCAGCTACTATTGGAATGCGTGGTTGGGCTTTCTAGGCGGTCAAACAGCAATAAACTCAGCAATTTCTCTTAGTTACCTGTGGAAAGACTTATAGGAGATTAATCTATGATATATTTGATCAGAGTCTTTGATGGTTTAAGGAGTACATGAGTTTCGTATGAGACCTTTTCTCAAAAGCCGTCTTTTTAAGTTCATAGGCCTGGAGGGTTACATCATTTTATGTTTGTTTTTCTACAAACTAAATTAGCTAATTTTCTACAAATTTGTCTTTTTACATATTTCTAGAATGCATCTTTAGGACAAAGGATATTTCTGGTCAGCAGTTCTGTATATTTTTCTTTGAACTTGATTCTTTTCGCGCACCAGATTCGTTTAAGACGATGTCTTTGAATGTTTAGCATTTTGATTTTTCGCGTAAATGATTATTAGTCTGCTTTAGTGGTTGGGGAAAGCATCTTATACGTGCCGCTCTCTTATTTTCTTTCTGTCTCTTAAATCAATAATTACTTTTAGGCACGTAAATTCCTCTTGCATGGCCTCTTTTGAGTCCATAACTGCCAGATGCAATGTACTGCGATTTTGTATTAATAAGGTCTTAAGGAAGTACATTTTTCTCGCAGAGGAAAATTTTGTATGTGTTTCTTTGGGATATTTTTAATTGCTATATGTCAACTAGGTATTGACACGGTTGAGTGTTTAGGGAGTGCTTAGCGAAAATCCCTATTTTAGTCAAAGCATAAGCTTTACAGGTTTGTTGAATGTGTCTAAATCACCAACTATTATGATAATACTTAAATACATACCAGACTTTCGACTCAGTCTCTCCGAAACGTTTGAGTCTAATCTTTCTGTTGAGTAATCTAAGGTCTCAAATTCCTTTGACTTAGAACCCTACTTATGTCATTTGTTTACTAAGGCATAGATTTTTTTATCTTGTTAAATATTTTCTAAGGAACTTTCCTTCTTTATTGAGTGTCCCTCCCCTTTGAAAGTTATGATTTTTAGCAACAAAATTTGTGCTAAACTTTCATTTGCCAGGTTTTCTTATCTGTTTAGATCAGTGAATAAAATTCTAAATAACCACTGGATATACCTCAATGGCCTTCGTGCAGTCTTGAGTTTCTTAATAGGGGCCTATCAGGTTTCCGCAAGTGGTTAATAATATAAGTAAAAAAGCTGCCTTTTTCTTCCATAAAATTTCGTCCACTGTTTCCTTCTGTGATTCTCACTCCAGTTAACCATATAAAAAAAGCATATATATAATGAGGGTTTCGTTTTGATTCACGAATTAGGTTACTTTTCATAATTTTTTTTTTTTTTTTTTTTTTTTTAAATTTATCGTGTGATAAAGAAAATATCTATAATTTTTTGTCTGTGTCCTTCTTGTTCGTTAGAAAATTTATGTTTTAATTCTCCACTTGAGACTAGGATGGACATAAATTTGTTCTCCTTGTTCATTGTGTTTTCTTGAATAGGGTTTCTCAATGTGAGATCCAATTTGGTGACAGGACTTGCAATGTTAATATGTTTGTAGAGGAACATGACTATTGGTATCTCTTTACTCATATTGAAGAAAAGCATCTTTACTCGTTCAAAGCTTAATACTCTGGTAGTGTCAGGAGTTTCAGGAGTTTCTTGATGAGCTAATGACACTTACTTCTTGGTCTTATTGTATGTATGGATATTTTTTTTTCCTGATGCTGAAATGTTTATAAGCTTTTACAGCTACTATGATTCGAACAGCATAAAACTCAGGAATATTCCTTTTCTGGAGACTTAGGAAATTTATAATTATGGTCTAGTTTACATACATGATTCGTATGAGACTTTTTAAAGCCTCTTTTAGTCATACCTGAGGTTTGCATTATGTTTGTTAAACTAAATTAGCTAATTTTTCATTGTTGTACAATTTTAGAAATTAGGAACATTTTGGTAGCATCTTAATTTTCTTGAATTGATTGCACCAGACGTTTAAGACATGTTTTGAATGTTCATTTTTATTTTTGCTATTGATTTTAGTCTCTTTAGTGGTGGAAAGCATTAATGCCCTCTTATTTTTCTGTCTAATCAAAATTACTTTTAGGAGTAAATTTCTTCATGGGCTTTTGAGTCCATAACTGCCAATGCATGTACTGCATTTCTGATTAATAATTTAGATAGAATTTTTCCAGAGATATGTTTCTTTGGGATATTTTAATGCTATATGTCAATAGGAACTTGAGTGTAGATGCTTACGAACCACTATTTATCAAAGCAAGCTACAGGTTTAATTGTCTAAATCACACTATTATGAAAACTAAATCTGCACTTCAACAGCTCCCAAACGTTTGAGTCTAATCTTCTTTTGAAATCTATTCAAATTCCTTTACCTACTTGTCATTGTAAGGCATAGATTTTCTTACTTTTAAATATTCTAAGGAACTTTCCTTATTAGTTCCTACCCTTTGAAGATTTTGAACAAGCTAACTTTCATTTGGTTACTGTTGATCAGGAAAATCTAAATGGTCTCTCCTTCTCATCTTGGTTTCTAATACTTGGTCCCAAATGGTAATAAATATAAGTAATAAAAGCTCCTTTTTCTTCCTAAATTTCGTCCCATTTCCTCTGATTCTCACTCCTAGTAACCAAAAAAGCATAAATAATGGGTTTGTTGAAGAAGTAACAGACCCAACTCACACATATCAGAATAAGAACACTGATGAACGGAGAAAAATAAAAAAAGAAATTCCATGTGGTTCTGTAATTTGCCTACTTATGGGTAGCCATGTGAAATTTTTTGTCGTGAAGGAAAAGCTTACAAGCCCCTATATATGTAGAGAGAACGAGGTTTTGCATTTTAAATTAGTAGCAGGAGAATGTGTCAAGCTGTTAACGCTGTACTGTAGTCATTGCGTTGCCCCCAGCTTATTTATTGATGGGCTAAAAAAAATGCTGGATAGTCACTGAGGTGTTTCAAAAAGAGGGGCGTAGAGCTTTTAGTGTAAGATTTCTTCTTTGAATTTGAGCCACAATCTTCAATAAGCTCACCAAATTTGTCCTACAATACATTGATACTTTGATTTGATCATTTAGTATAGCTTTAGTAAATTCCTGGTTTGCTTTGAAAAGGGACTGAAAATGGAATAGATGTCTCATTTCCAACATTCTCATTCTAAGTTTATTGTTAAAATAATTAAGTATGAATTAATGTAGTTTAAAACTATACTTGAAAGTAAATCATTTTATGTAAATTTGGATACAAAAACCCACAAAACTGGATTCCTTCTAGACTCTTGGAATTGCATTCTAACGTAAAAAGGAAACTGATTGTTTAACACTATGGTGCTGACTTAACCTTATCTTTTTTTGGTTCCTTGGTTAAATGGAATGAAGGTTGGAAATTTTAAGAAATTATTGGTATTTTGGAGCTTTTCTATATCAAAAAGAGGAGTACAGAAATGATTTAGAAGGGGACAATTTGCAGCCTACTATAGTTACTTAATGACTGTAATGATCATTAAATTTGCACCATTTTCCTTTCGGTTATTAACTTCCCAAGGGACTCAAATGGGAGCATTCGCTTTGTAAAACCTGCACTCATCTTATCCTCTCTTGAATAAGAATGGAAAAGCCTTCCATTGCTGAAGAACAGAAGGACAAATTCATTACACATTGGCAATCCTTTTGAGATTCTGGCTTATATTCAAGGAAGGTGCTTTGTGCTAAAGGCTTCAATAAAAGAAGGGTGATCTTGGGAGGAAGGCAAATGGTACATTTTGCTAAGCTTATGGCAGTTCTAATTATGGGATTGATTTGTAGTTTGGGTTTCTATATTTCATCAATAACAAACGAGCTTTAGTTAAAAATTGATGCTCGTAACCTTTTGTTTTATAGTGAACAATCACAAGTAATTTATTCCTAAGCACATTGTTGAATCACACAAAATAATTTGTGTTTTGTTCTGTGTCTTTTTCTATGTTTTTATTTAGCATGTGTGTGTGAGTTGTATGTGTCATTTTTAAACAAATTCCACTATCATCTAGGTAATTTTATCGTGTTTTAGCATTCCTGGCTACTGATAGTAATTTATCATTTTATTATGCATTAGAACATGATTTTTCTGTTCTATTGAGTTTTGCATGGTTCACTAATGTTTTGCCAATGGAATTGCAGCACTTCATATGGCGTCAGCTAATGGGCATCTTGATGTCGTGGAGTATCTTATCAACCAGGGGGTGGTAATGTGTCTAGCTCTCAATTTTTTTCATGGTATCATATTATACCATGAGTCTGTGATTAATAACTTATCATTGGTGTACTGAAAAGTTAATTTTTTGTTTGGTATGATTGCTTGTTACATATTTTATAAACCTACTGTCAAGCTTATCCTTTGATGGCATTTCCTAACTACGATGTTTTTTTTATACTTCTACCATCATTGAAAAGGAAATTAGCTCATTAATGGCAGATTTTTTTTTCCTACTATTTACATATTTTTCGTATCTATAGTTCTTGGTTCGTAAATTTGGTTTGGCCGGAGACCATTTGCCAGGCTCAATGATGCAGGACCAAAGTCTAGAACTGTTCATGTTTGTGTAACAGGTTACTGTTCACAGCATTTTGTGGCAATTTTCCAATGCTCTTTGAGTTGGGCTTGATCTTAAATTGAGCCCACCAATGAAGCTAGATGGACTCTGGTTTATAATATCCCTGCCTATCCTGGCCATGTTAAGTTAGTGGGAAACTTTTTTAAGTGGCCAATTACATATATTCTCTCCTATCTTTTACGCAAAAAAAACCATAATGGCACCCAAACTTTACAGGGAACCTATTGTGCCCCTAAAATTATAAATTTTGGTAATATTACACATTTCCACATTACCAATAGTAGTTTTATGGTCTTTTCGGCTTCTATATGCAAAGTATGTGTGGTCGTTTCAACTTTTTGGAACAATAATTTTCACAATTTTTAATTACCTAATAAATGTTTAATTGAACTAATTTTACAAGTTGGAATATTCAATAGAAAAATTTTGCAAGTTGAAGTGTTCAATATGTGTAATTTTATAAGTTAAAGCGTTCAATGGATGAAACCAAACGTTGGGGGCGTTACAAAGTTTTTACGTAATATAGGAGGGTGAATTTATGGATTTGGCCTTTTTTTTAAGAAAATAGTATCATTAGTCAAACATTTCAACTCAGAGACCTCATCTCAAATCTAGCAATTTGGACAGGCCATTTAGGTGATGCAAAACAGCCCTAGGATTAACTTGAGTTTTTGTCTTCCTTTTGTCTTCTGGTCATCTTTTTGTTGCATGCTTGTGTTTATGATTCAAATTCAAAACTCTTGGTTTAGGGGTTGGCATCAAATTGTTATTAACTTATCATAGCCATGAGAGTTCATGGACTAAAGGGGGAAAGCGAGGCTAAATGAAGGTGAAACAGTGATATAGTAGGACTAGTTGTCTTTCTTATTTATCTTCAATGTTTGTATCAAGTTTGGTTAGTACATTTATTTAAGAACAGGGAATTCATTGTGTTGGAGGCTGAAGGCTGATTTCAGAATGTAACTGCAGAATTTTATTGAGTGACATGTACAAGCATACTAAATTAAGAATGAGAAGAACTAATTTTGTGATTTAATTATTATTATTATTATTATTATTATTATTATTATTTTCCCTGGGGTTCCATAACCTAAATTTGGACGTAGACAAGCCAGACACTTTAAATCCATGCACATACCCTGTCACCCATACCACATGCATCCAAATCTAAGGAACATGGTAATGCTCTATTCTTCTTTTGCCCCTCTTTCTTTTGTTGCTGCTTTTCTTTTTTCATTTCTCTCCACTTTCCGTTCTCTATTGTTTTCATCCCTCTTCTGCCTTTTCTCTTTTATCTCTCTATTATCTTTGCATCTCTAGTTTGGTCTTACATGAGCTGTTATTCAAGCAAATTTGGTCCAAACCCTAAACACAAACTCTTGATGAACATAATATTCTGAGGAATGTCAATAACCAATGCACTCACTGAACTTATGATGGGCTTATACAAATTATTTTTTGTTATTGATATGAGGAATTAGTCTGAACACATTTTAGCTTGTTCACTAAATAAGCATTGGCACAAGTAAGCTTGGCAACAGATTCATCTAATGTTCCTTTCTTTCTTTCCAGATCTGATTTAAAGCTTGGTAGAAGTTCATCGTTACTAGCTTAATGCCTTACATGTTAGATTTGGTTAGAGATTAGTCTTTGTTATATTAGGATATAATCTTCAACACTGTGAAGTTAATGTAAAATAGATCACTAAATGTTGATTTCTTTTCAAAATATAGTTTTTGCTACAATTAAAACCAAATATGGGCGGTTCCCTAATCTTTGCTTACTGATTGATAAATATGTAAATCGGTGGTATTATTATGCAAACATTCTAAAGGCTAGTTTCTTTTAGCCACTTATTGATTAGGCAAATGCAAGAGAGAAGTTCCCACTTTAAGTAGATTAACTGCATTATTTGTGCAAATCCAACACAAATGTCTTGTTTTCCCCGTGAGTTGGGAGCATTAGTAATAGCAGCTCACAGAAGCAGGCCTTTTGCTATAACGTAGGTCTACTTGTATTTGTGAGTAACTGTGTACTCTTGATAAAATATATTGCATGTAATTAGCTTCCTGTATAAAAATATCTTTACTTGTGTGTATAACCGTTAGCGTATGCTTGTAAAGTAACAATGACAATGTTGCATACTTTACATAAACCCTCAATTGAATTGAATGCTTATTATTTCTTAACTGAATATATTACCTGGGAATCCTCCACACAGAAGGATGCTCGTTGAATAATAATGTAGCTCTATGTTGAAGATTGATACGTATCCAACATTTATCCCTAAGTCCAAGTTACATAGGCCATGAATGAGATTGCACCCTCTTGATTATAGCATGCTGTGTTTGCCTGTTACTTTCTTATTTAAGTAGTCTTTTCTATTTTTGTTTGTTTATATACCCTTGGGCCTCGTATTGAGTGCTGTTTGTAAATTGTTTTGAAAAACCTGCTTAATTTTTTGGCATGTCTTTTGAGCAGGATCTCAATGCTTGTAACGAGGAGAAGAATACACCTCTTCACTGGGCTTGTCTCAATGGTCGTATCGAGGTAATTATCATGGTCCTTTTTGTGTCACCAGTACTATGATACTTGTTATTGGGTTCTTAACGAAACACTTATATGTACAGGTGGTTAAGAAATTGATCCTTTCTGGAGCAAATTTAAGCATTCTGAACTGGTATGTTATTTCAAGGCCATGTGTGGTAATAACTGAATTTCACAAAATTCTATGGAATTTGTTTGAAATTTCATATTTTTCATATTTGATATAAATGAACATTCTATTTTCACTCTAAAAGATTCAAAATTTTATGGAATTCAACCTAATTAAATGAAATTCCCATTTGTAAATGAAGCAAGCGAAAGGCAAATAGAGTGACTCGACTCCAGTGTGCCATGCATGTGTTTTGATATTTCAAATTCAATTATAGTAAAACGAGATAATTGGAACTGGAGTTTCTCTCAAAAAAATAACATGCACGCATGAATATATGCAGTCCGAATTGATGCAAATGAGATGTCCTCTTACTGAAGTTGTATCACTATATGAGTTTGCAGTCACGAGCACACTCCTGTAGATGAAGCTGTTATCCAAGGAAAAAGAGATGTTCTTGATGCAATTAATGAAGCTGTGGCACAGCTGGAACTTGCTGGCGCTCAAGTTTCCTAATGCAGCAACTTCCTGATATAAAGCATGAGCTGATATTTTACAGGTATTGCAAGCTTGTAGTTTGAATATTTTGGTTTATGACTATTAATTATTGTCCTTGGTTATCTGATCTGAGACAATTTTTTTATCTATTTAGTAAGAATAAATAGTTTCTGTCTATAATTGTCGAACAGCTATTTATGTTTTGTTCGGTTGGAAGAATTTTCTCAAATGAAGCATCTTGAATTGTGCTTGCCACTCACTCAGATATGCAAATGGAGGAATAAAGGGGACTGATTATTAATCTTCATTATCTCCATAATCACATGCAGGCTTTCGTGTTTATAAATTGTGGGTTTCTAATTTTATAGTAAAGGTGCAATGCTTATTACTCCTTGTAGTATGATTAGAAATTTTGATCGAGAAAGTAATATATAGAGAGAATTTTTATTTTTAAATGGAACTCATAATGCCTTTACCTTTGTGAACAATCTAAGAGAATCCTATGATGATGATGATGATGATGATGATGATAATAATATAAACAATAGATGTGAACAAATCTTATCTCAAAAAGAATATGAAAGCTGTAAATGATTTTCTTTAACTTTAATAATTTGGATTATGTATCTAATGGAAAAGAAATTATAATGTAAGAATTTGGAATTTGATTCCATGAATGTTAGCTGTGTTTATTTTTCAGTTCAAAACACACTCAACAATATGGTTAAATTTTTAATTATTTTCATAAAAATTATTGCCTCTGTTCAGACATTTCTTTGTTTGGAAGTAAAAGAAAAATAACAAAGGAAAGAAAATACCAATAATAATAATGAGAGCTCATAATTTTATTTGTTTATTTATTTTTTTTTTTATTTTGAGAAATGGCCACAAATGAAATTCTTCCCAATTGAAAGAAAATGATTCAAGAATGAGGGAGAACATTACTATTCATATATTAACAACTGTAATACCTTTTTATATATTTTAATTTTATAATTCTAACTTTAGGTTGTTGATGTTGCTATTACCTTTTACTCTCTTTCGCTTTACCTTTTACTTTTTTTTTTTTTTTTATTCTTAATCTTTTATTCACTTTAATAAACTTAGATATATTAAATAGTTTTTTTTATTGTTACTTTGATACCGTATTTAAAGTGTTTTTGTCTTTTCATTGTGAAGATTTGATTTTTTTTTTTATGAAGGTTTATTATTGAATAAAAGTATGATATTTGATTTGATTTGATTGGAAAATTTAGATCTTAATTTTCAAGTGTGAGTCTTCAGTCAATGAATATGATAGTGTGACATGTTCCTCTATTGATACTATCAATGCATAGTGATGGAAACTAATATGTGTTTATCATATGTTGCATCAAGCGTAAAAAATTTAAAGAAATTATTTTAACGTCTAAACAATCAATAGACTAGTTGTTATTATGAAACATATATATTTTATCAAAATCATCTTCGATAGGAAAAATATAATATTATATTTTTTAATTTTCGTTTTGTTATATGATAAAGTTTTATGGCTGATTTATATGAGTAATTATAATATTTGATATTATTATTAATGAATTACTACTTCTATTCCATAATATTTGTCATATTTAGAATTTCATCGTTCCTTAAGAAAATTATTAAAATTGTGTAAATTACAATAAATTATTAAGTAAATTCACTATAGTATCCTTAATTTAAAACTAATTTCTCTAAGAAAATCATTAAATTGAATTAATAATTATTAGTTATATTCAAAGGATAAACATGGAAAAGATTATTTATTACTTATTAAAATTATAAAAGTGACAAATATTTTGGAACAAATTATTTTTTCAAATATGACAAGTATTATGGAACGGATATATTATATTTAAAAGAAAAAACCCTTCCTACTATATGCATGATATGTAATGTAAGACTAAGATTTACAAATGTAAACTAGTAGCTTCTAAAATAAGAAAAAATATAAATATTTTCTTTCCATTAAGAGTTACCCTTTCATATTGATTAATCTCTAAAATAATACTTACATGAGTGCCAACCACTAAGCATTTACTTTTTTCTTTGCCCTAAAAAAAGACATTTCTTTGTAAGAAAAGAATTTTTTCCAAACTAATTTTTTAATCAAGGGCAATATTTTTGAGGATGCTTAGAAGTACTACCCATAATCTTTATGGAGAATATTTTTTATAATAGAAGCTAAGGATTAGGGACTTGGGGAATAATGCACACTTACATAAAAATCATATAATACAAGTAAGTGCATTTTAGCACTAAAAGTTAGGCAATTATAAACTACAAGAAGGAACTTTTGCAATTAAAATTTTAATTAGAGTATTTTATATAATAAGCACTAAAGTATCAATTATATCACTATCATGAAAGGAACTTTTTTTTAAGTATTTTATATTTTAATTTTATGTTCTAACCCTTTAATATTAATTATTTTATAATATGGATTCATTAATCGAGCAACACTGCAGATATGCTTTCTTGTGCTCTGCACAAGTGTTTCCTCTTATTGTAATCATTATTTTCCCTCTTTTCAAAAAAAAATAAAAATAAAAATAAAAAAATAAAGCTTTTGAAAGATTAATTTAACTCTTTTAACTTATTTAGAAAAATTAAAATTAAAAAGATCATATCTAATCTTTTCTGTCAGTTTAATTTATAAATTCATTTAAAATGATTAAAAATGTTATATTTAATTTTTTCAGCGATTCTTCACTGTGCTTTTAATGTGTAGACACTATGGTTAAGATCACATTTATTTAAAAAAAATTAATTAATGGTGATATGGAGAAAACTAACACATGCAATATATTATATCTCTCTTTATTTTAAAAAAAAAAAAATGTACCTCTCTTCATCTTATCTTATGATTTTGATTGATAAATATGTACAATTTGAACGTTTTGAAAATGATTTTTATTACACATGAAATCTATTTATTTCTCGTATTGAACAAACTAAAAGTATACTACGCATTTTTAGAATTTGCGATGTGTTAAAATAAATTATACTTTTATTCATAAGTGCTGGAAAAGTTAAATATAAAAATTTTTAGCACGAAAAAGTATTGAATCAATTCATTGGTTTGCAAAAATTAAAAGCTTAATTATAAATTTAGTGCTTAAACTTTCGAAAAATCTTTTTATTTGTGTCTCAATAGAAAATATTTGCAATCAAGTATCTGAACCAATAATTTTTTTTTAATCAGGTGTTTTCATCTTACGTGGTTTATCAAAAACATAAATAAGACATATGAAACCCACTTAATGTTTAAAACAACACTGAATAGAAAGGCCAATAGCTTGACACGTCGGATTTAACATATCAAACAGTGGAGTGTAAAAAATAATTGATAATTACCCTTAACCCAAAATAAGGCAACTTATCATTCAATTGGAAATCACTCTCACCCAGACGTGTTATTTTAATAGATCGCCTTCTAGAAAATCAAAATTAAGAACCAAGGTGGGATAACCTAATTATCTATTGACAAAAACAAATTTATCTAATAAAGAGCATTAAAATTCAAATCTAATCAATATGGTCTTTATAATTATTTTTTTCAATAATTTATCGAATTTTTTGAACTTCAGTTAACCAATTAAATAATCAAAACGAAACATTTTATTTTAGTTCAATTCAAATGGACTTCCTACTAACTATATTTTGATTCGTTTTTTATAAAAAGCAAAATTCAATTTTTGGTTTGATCTGTTTGGTTCAGTTTGGAACCAAACGGACAGAATATACAAATGCCTGCCAACTCTCACAAAGTGAAGAACCTCATAATTACAAATAAGCAAATCCTCTATCAAACACCTCCTGTGCCAGAATGAGACTAGTGGTGAGAAAATGCAGCTTCTAGTGATCCTCAGCTTAGTGCAATTACATTGGAGAAACTAAATAGACAAGAATAAGAAAACCAAAACCAAGAAACTGAAAATTTCAAAGATATATGTCAACATCAAGCCTAACCTTTAATATCACCCCAAACTTTTTAAATAATTGCAATTTCACTCTAAATCGGTCTTTATATTTTGAGCACTCTGAATTTATCAACTTAGTTGCAATTACACTTTAATTTGCTTTTAGAGTGTAATTTCACTGTAAAAGTGAATTACAACCCTCTGAATTTGTCAATTTGTTGCAATTGCACTCTAAAAATAAACAAATGTTGAAATTTTGATTAAAATATTTTAAAAAATAGAATTCATATCCAAGTATTTTTGAACAATAAATAATAAAATCAAGCCTAAATATTCATATAAATAAAAAAAATTAAAATTGAACCAATTTTAAGATTAAAAACAATGAGCTGAATATTTATTCAAATTAGATGTGATTGCAACTATATTGATAGTTTAGGGTACCTAAAATACAAAAGTAGATTTAGACTGCAATTGCAAGTACTGAAAAGTTCAAAATACAATAACGGCCCAGCCCATGTGTGATATTGTCCGCTTTGGGCCACACAGACCCGCACGGTTTTGTTCTTGGGGGAAATGGGAAACTTCCCAGGAGGTCAGGAAATATTTCCCCCTTTCGATATATGAAGTCGATTCAATTCTGTGTCCCACATTCCACTACCCCACTAGCCTGTTCCATCCAGAAGGCTAGCCAGACTTCCGCTCACCCGCCCTCTTTTTAAAGGATCGCTTGCCGGTCCAGGATGTCAACAGGCCCACCAACTTCGCGTGGTCGTCCCTCGAACCAATACATCTACTGAAGGGGTTCCGCTCTGATACCAAACTGTCACGCCCCGACTTATATCACCCAAGAGGAATTGTCCCGCTTGACAAGCCAAATCGCCCAACAAGAGCCAAGACCGCACGGTTGTCCCGCAGGGTGAATATGGGAAACTTCCCAGAAGGTCACCCATCTTGAGATTTCTATTAAGCAAGCACGCTAACCCAACCTAGAGTTCTTCCAACTCACAGCCATTTCCATCAAAACGCGCCTTCTAATGATTATTTCCCCCTTTTCGATATAGGATCGATTTCATTCCTGTGTCCACCATTCCACTACCACTAGCAGCCTGCCATCTTTAGAAGCTAGCCAGAGAATCGCTCTACACGCACCCTAGCCTCTTAGACCGCTTTGCCGGGCGGATGTCAATCAGGTAAATCAAACCTCTCCCAACCAAATCTCTGAATACTGCCAATGTCAACTAACTCCCACTCCAGCTTGAAGCTATGATAAGCTTCAATAGGATTCGCAGGTTAAGCATCCAACAGTACCAGTTTCTTAAAGGAGATCAAAGATAACTTTCCTCTGAGAAATAAAAAATCCTTTTTTTTTGAACCTAGCAACTCCTATCCAAGGAAATATCTCAACTTTCCCAAATCCCTTAATCTCAACCCTATGCCTAACAAATTTCTCAAGTGAGTCATTCTTCTTCATTATTTCCAAGTCATCACTAATCATCAACAATAAGACATAA